TATTTTCAAATATATAGAAGTATAAAGAAGAATCCAAGTATAATGTACATTCAAGTCTGTTAACATGGCTATCTGAGAATAGCTATAGGATACATACATTGTCGACGGATTTTTTCGTTATTTCCCGATCATGACAAGGAGCACACGGCGGGTGTTACCGATCGGCAGGGGATGCATGCTTACTCCTACATGGCACCTGATCCCACCTCTGATGTTTTTTTGAGGTCAGTGTTTGCTCTGCTCCCGATTTGTATTGTTTTAATGGACTTTGAGCTTGAATTCTGTTAATTATCTCCATAATTCATACATGTAAGAGGAATATTTTTTAAATCCCTTTAAAACAGTGAAACATTTGTCAAATCAATATGGAATATTTCAATAAAGTGAATATTGAAGTAAATTAATGCTTTAAATTTATCATTAAAACAGACCATTTTTTTGACCTTCCAGGTGAACATACATTGAACTAAAATAGATTGAAAACAATTCTGAAAAGTTATTTCACCTGCATCCGAATTCCACTTAAGTGAACATAATATTCAGACACAAAGAATCGGAGAAGGGGGAGATACCCCCCCCCCATTCTTTTTCTGAAATTAAAATTAGCAATGTCTAGTTTGAAAATGAAAATTGAAAGTCTTGTCTTTTTTTATACAGTATAGTTAAAAAAATATCTCCTTCTTGAGTAGACAAGGTGGACATAACTTTCAGGTGCATAGAATCAGGGGTGGGTGGGGTGTCCTCCCCCTTCCATTTTCATGAACGTAATTTTTTTTTATCATTTCGCTTGAAAATGTTCATTGCAAGTCTGATTGCTCTACCCCCAACTTTTTGATACAGTAGAGTAAAAGGAAATCCCCCTTGCAACAATAAGCTTTTTGAAGTGATCATCAAAGATATTTCTAAGGTAACTTGTCATTTTGCCCCATTTTGCCCCATTTCCCCTTTCGATGCTATGCCTGATATTTATTTTTTCTACATTGCACCAAAGTTAGATTTCAAATGCAAAATTAATACTGGTTATGCTTAGTATGTCAACTCCAATTTTCTCACTGTGTTTGGCTTGGACTTGAGCAAATGTTAACAAGAAACTTGACATGTCTGCTTAATCAGTTTGTATCAATTTAATCGTTGAATCATATAATAAAACAATTATTGCTGTTTTTTCTCTCAGTACGATGATTTTCCACCATAAAAAAAAAATGTTCACCGCGCACTTTGGGCTCGATAAATCTTTTAATTCTCTAGATTCTGAATCATCGCATTGACCTTAAAAACAGCAATAATTGTAGAATGTAATGAAATCAACATATCACCGATCTATTTCCAATTTAGCTCAGGTGAACATTTTGGCCAACAGGTCTCTTGATTTATTTACTCTTTATTACCCCTTAAAAATTTCAACTTTTATCCACAAGGGGTCATTCTACGGGGGTCATTTTTCTTCACGAAGGGTATGCAGATTTTTAGGGTGATGACAGTTTTTCTACGGGCAAAAGGTCATTTTTCATTGTCGAATAATGACCGGGGTCATTTTTCGCCATTGAATAATGACCGGGGGTCATTAATCGACGGCCAAAAATGACCCCCGGTTATTATTCTATGGGGTCATTATTCGTCTATACACCTAATCTAGTCTAATAGTCAAAGAACGCCATTATAGCCTTGTTATTTCTTTTCCTTCAATAGAGATTGTTCTATCTGACGTATCCGTATAAGTATCCGTATCCGTATACGTATCGAGGTGAGAGAGGCATCTCGATCCCGATGTCTAAACTATTTACTATAATTTTCATCGTTATTTGTTTGGTTTTAAAGCAGCCCTATTCATTTAAGGATAGCATATGGTATTTTTTCTAATTAAAAATGTATTAAGCTGCTGTAAAAGTTTGTTATTTCGCTGGAAAATTAAAAAAAAAATAGATAATGAAATTCAATAAATTTGTGTTTGTTTTCATTATATTGTTTAAAATTTTAATTGCAATTTTGTTTAAAAAACATTTATCGGATTCGCCCTCTCTCCCTCTTAACATCAGGACATTTTATTGATTGATTCTGTAATTTACATTAGATGACATAAAAGTTAACCCCCTCACTCACACACTAAATGCAAAAGACGTTGATATCCATACAATCAATAAAACCGTGAAGCAGTTTTCTAAAGAGAATTTGCTCCCAGAACCTTCCCTGTATATGCTTAAAAATGCCATCCCCCCCCCCCCCCCCCCCGGGAACACACACAAACTTTCATAGCGTCTGTTGACTTTCTTCATTTTTTTTTCAATGAACTATTTGACAAATACATGTATGTCTCCCCTTCCCCTCCCCAGTTGAAATTGCTTGCTACTTTCGGGCCTATTCTCATACAGCTTGATTTTGTTTTATATTTTGTCCTTTCAGCAATAATAAGTTGAAAAGACTTCATGGCAACAAAATGGAAATGAAATTTCATTTGTTAAATTTGATTTTTCTTTTTAGTTCTCTTGTCGTACATGTACATGTGTATTATAATTCATGGTTTGATATAGAACTGTTTCAAAATAGGGTATTTATTATCTTAACTCTCTTTTTATAAGAAAGAAAAGAACATTAGACTAAAAAAATGCCAAAACAATAGATTTATCTATTTTTTCTATGCTACCTTTTCCATCCAGCTGATTTTCATTTATTTATATATATATTTTTTAATTTATTTATTTATTTATGCATTTTGGCCCAGACTGGGACAAGTGTGAGTCAATTCAACACGCAGTTCATAGAATTGAATAGAAGAGGCTGCTTCAACGTAGCAGAGAAATAAAAAAAAACACAGAATAAAGGATAAAATCTATACAAAACATTTAATTGATAAAATATCAGCATTTTTTCAGAGTTTTGATCCCGCTTGTACACAAAGAATTACAGTCATCTTAATTTCAATAAACAAATCATTTAAGTAAACTTTAGTGAACATGTATATAAAGTAATGTATAAGACATAAAAAAATTTCTCCGTTTATCTCCTTTCATCGACAATTATTAATTCATCCCCGACAAAAACTGCGTGTAATTGTATCACTTTCGGAAATCGTAGTCCTTTCTCAAGCTCTGTGGAATTTCGGATACGGCTATCACCTAACAATTTAGGGAATTTAGAGTCTTCAAACCACCCCAGAATTGCCAGTTTTCCAAATCTTTTCTGGAGAACTATGTCCATCAAATATAATCAAATGATATACAGAATGTTGATAATGATAAAAAAGAAAATGAGGATGGAAATTTTCAGTGACCCCCCCCCCCCCTCATACACACAGAGTATGCAGTATGGTCACCTTTTTATTGTCAAAGTTTTGATAAGGTGACTTGTCATTTTTTATTTTCTCCCTACCTCGGCCCAGCTTCCCCCTTCTCCACTTTGTTAATCAATTTTAAGTGTCTGCTTGATGTAGACAAACTTATATTCATCTAGAATGTTTGATCTCTGACACCTCGTACAGTTAAACTTTGTTAACTCAAACCCTTGGATATATCGAAGTTTTAATTGGTCCAATCAAGTTTGAGATAACGAGCGTTGACTGTATGCATTATGGGGAATATGTCTTGTACTGGTAAAGGTTAATTCTAGAATGAAACAATAATATATCCTGATATTGAGAGAGAGAGAGAGAGAGATCTCCCTTGTTGAACCTTTCTTTTATTTTTTAACAATTTAATAAAAATATAGATTACGTATTTTTTTTTACTAATTTTATTTTTTTTAAAATCCTTCCATAAAATGATAGGTGTGAACAGCAACTTGATACGTTTCATTAGAAATATTACTATATATCTTATTTTCCAATGAATGGGATTAAAATCAAACAAGAAACGATGGAAATGTTACCCAACGGTTAAATCATCGGGATCGAGATGCCTCTCATACTTCGATACATAAACGGATACGGATACGTATACGGATACGTCAGATAGAACAATCTCTAATGGGGATAAATCAACTTGTATTATTGATGTAAGGTTTAGTATAACTTTTAATTTTGTTATATAAACTTTAATACTTTTAGAAATGAACACTTTAAATCATAAGACTACATGATTTTACCCATATCTATTTGCTTAACAAAAATATTTCTACCAAAATCAGTTTTTTTGTATCATAAAAAGACACAGGGTCATTATTCTACGGGTTTATTTTTCTACAACCCACACGGAGAAAAATGACCCAAAGGCCATAATTTCTACAAAAAAGTGGGACATTTTTCTAAGTAGAATATTGACAAGGAGGTCAAATTTCTACGTAGAGAAATGACCCACGGTCAATATTCTACGGGGGTCACTTTTGGTCGTTACATCAGCCCACAATAAAGAGTTTTAGCCGTCATCGCCGGTTTACATCTTTCTTGCGTTTTCTGGTAAAACTTTTGAGCATGTCTGGAAAAAGAATTATATAGACTCTAAATGGGGAAAAAACTTGACATCTATTGTTTAAAAAAATATATTTTATTTCACTGATACAATGCTTTGATCGTGGAAAATTTTTTATCAAATATATGTAGAGAACATTTGATGCATATTTGCTAATTTTATTTTCAAAGGAATGCCTCCCAACTCCCGCTGAACGAATCCAAGGATTAACACGATAAAATGGTTTACACTTTGTAGATATACAATCCCCCCAGGCCTCCGTCAACAATTGCAGTGGAACGAGGTTTTTTTTTTCGATTTCCAGCCATGCAGTATCGAAACTACTTATTACTATTAAATTCGTTCTGCACTGTGAAAGTGATTTGAAAATTAGACTCATGATAAACATTTCCATGTACTGTTTGTTAAGTTTGAGAAGTATATCCAAATAAAAGCACCAGGATTTCGAAATTTCTTATAACATGCGTTAAATATTCAAATGTTAATAGGCAGCGCATGTAAAGATTTAGAATTCTTCTTGGCAGTGAAGCATGATACACTTATATAGCCGACCAAGGACGCACTGAGGGGCAAAATCTGTAACGTTTCAGAAAATAAATATTTGTCAGCCCTGGCATTTCACTGATTAGGCTATTTGTCATTCACTATACGTTACTGGGGTAAAGTGTTGCCTGACAGTGTCCATGTTTGCCGCAGTATGTGGGTGACAGTAGCCATTGTTTCCGTGATTGTCTGCTTATTGTGGAGTCTGACTGGTCGACGGAAGGGACTCCCACCAGGTCCGACATGTTATCCAATCATAGGGAATGTCGGACTCATCAAACCGTCAGAAGCCGTGAAAGATCATAGAAGACTAAGGAAGATTTACGGAGATTTCTACTCCTTAATGATCTTCCATAGACCTGTCATTTTCATCCATGGTCTCCATAACATACGGGAACTTTTGGTCAAACACGGGGATGTGTTCTCAGACAGACCAAAGGTGTTTCCATCTGAAGTCCTTGCTAAAAGAAAAGGTAAAAACATTAGCATCATTGATTTTATATTTTCTTCATAAATGTTAGTTGTCCCTGTATTCCATATCAAGCACAAACGAAAGGTATAATCTCAAATTGACTGAAATCTTTAAAACTGAAAATACAGATTTAGGAATTCATACAGAACTAGTACAAGAAACCCAAGCGTGTTAAGATTTTATAATGTTAAACAATTGGTAGTCCCCCACTGGTTGGGTCCATATAGGGCAATCTTTATATGTTGTATCGGTGTTATTTGTATGTCCTGTCAAGTTTGTCAATCATAAAAAATTGAAATTTTTGAATTTATCAAGATTGAAGCTTCTCAAAACTGTATCAAACTTCAAGATAAAGGTCATGAGGTCAAATATCAATACATTTTGAAAGGTCTTGCTATAAGTAGTGCACAGGTGAAAAAAAATATAAAATCCTTTTTCTTCTGGGGCAAAAGTTAAAACTTTTGATATGTAGGTCAAATTTCTAGGTCAATGTCATGAAGTAAAAAATAAATTTCTTTTGAAAGGTGTTGTCATGGGTAATGTTCCTTTAAAATATTAATTCCTTATCTTCTCTTATTCAGAAGTCATTGCCCATGTAAAAAAAATTGGAAAAAGACTAGGTTAAACTTTTAGGTTAAAGCATGTCAAAAGTCAGAGTATATTCGGAAAGGTATTGAAACAGGTAATGTACATGTGAAAATCCTAATCTTCTCTCATTTAAAACTTATAACCAGTGTTAAAGTTTTTGAAAATTTCAAAGATCAAGGTCATTGCGTTAAATTATAGTATATCTGGAAAGGTTTTGTCACAGGTAATGCATATCTCAAATATAAACGGCCTAACTTCTCAATATATTAAAATTTTTGAAAATTAGATCAAACTTCTGGGTCAAGGTCACGGGGTCAAAAATCATAGAACACTTATCATTTCTCATTCAAAAGTTATAGCCAATGTTTAAATTGTTGAGAAGTAGGTTAAACTTCAAGGTCAAGTATACGGGGTGAAAAATCATAGTGCATTTGGAAAGGTCTTGTCACAGGTAATGCACATGTGAAATATGAAAGCCCTATTTTTTCTCATTCAGAAGTTATGACCAAGGTTTAAGTTTTTGTGATAGACAGCCAGGCTGACTGACAGATACACAGAACTGACTGATGAATGAGATTTAATGTTCCATCGCTTTCTCGAAAGCTGGGGACAAAAAAAGAGAAATTCAAAATGAGTTCATCTTTCTTCATCGTCGGAACCCATGGGTTTTCTCTCCGTTACACGTACTACATTCTAGTGTAACGGAGAGAAAACCCGTGGGTTCCGACGATGATCTTTCTTCAAAGATTAAAGTATATCTAAAACACAAGAACACACAAGCAGGGAAAAAATGGAAACACACACACACACACCCTCACACACACACACACACACACACAGAGAGAGAGAGAGAGAGAGAGAGAGAGAGAGAGAGAGAGAGAGAGAGAGAGAGTAATTCCAAAATTCTTATCGGAGAATTAGAACAAACAAATAAGTAGTAAACTTAAGGGGGACGTGAAGGCAATCTGAAATCATGAAATTCTTATCCTCAGTATTTTCAGATAAGTATTTTTTCATGCTGATTATCATGGAACATAAGAAAAAATTAATTTTTAGAACTTTATCTTTCCTTTGTTATTAGTCTTGAAAGCATTTCTTTTTTCAATAAAACCATTTATATATTCAAAGAGATTGCACTTTTTGACAAAATTATTAAAACTAATACTTTGAAAAAATAAAACAGGGATATGTATAACTTTTTTTAAGGTTTGGCCTGGTCTTCTGGGTCATGGTGGAAGGAACAGAGAACATTTGCTCTGACAACGATGCGAAAATTTGGATTTGGAAGACGATGTCTCCAAAGCCAAGTGATGGAGGAAGTGGACTGTTTGATGGAAGAGTTTGAAAAATACGAAGGTCAACCATTTGACATCCAAGAACAACTAAAAATTAGCATATCAAATGTGATATGCTCACTTCTATTTGGCAAAAGGTTCGACTATGAAGACGCAAAATTCAAGCGGTTGTTGGGCTTGTTCAAAACAATATTGAAAGCTTTAAATCTTTCAGCCCCGGCATTCTTTTTTCCTCAGTTGACCCCTTTTACTGGCTTTAACAAAGCACTTCCAGTTATCAAAGCTCTGACTGAATTTGTTGGTGAAATTGTCGAGGAACACAGACAAAACTTTGACGAGAACAACATCAATGATTATATTGACGCCTACCTCGCAGAGCAGAAACGCAGGACTGGTGAAATTAACACCACATTCACAGGTAAACATGGAAAATACAGTAAAATCTTATTATCTCGAACTCGACAGGACAGATATTTAACTTCGAGATAGTTTGAATATATAAGTGAATAGCGTACGTCCCACTCAACGATTCTATTTTTTGTGCAACAGCTTAAACATGAATAGAATCTAACAGAGACCAAAATGAATCTATTACAGAAAAATTGAATTTCAAGAGCTAGATTGTCTAAATCACTGAATTTAGATGAAAGCGTCATCTGGTCGTGTAGATTCTTTTCTAAACATGGCATCAGGAGCAGTGATGAGGCCACAGTTGGGTTAAAAGTTTAGCAGAGAAACTATTTTTTTTTTACTTAAAAATATTATCTAAATCAACAAAGCATACCCAATCATCTCCATCTAGTACAGATCTAAATTCCTGACGTTGGAAATATATAGAGGCATGAAAATTTATATATATATATATATATATATATATATATATATATATATATATATATATATATATATATATATATATATATATATATATATATATATATATATATATATATATATATTCGGGAATCAAATAAAAGTCTACATTTTGAAAAAGTGAATTTTATTTGTAAGCATGCTCCTGTACCTACCACTTCAGCTTTTTTAATCTATGAACTGAGAAAGAAATTGGATTAAAAGGACGAATAATTTCTTTTAGCAAAATTTACCATTTTAAAATTTCAAAAAGAAGAGGGTAATTTATTGTCAATGTAAAATGAAAATGTCTTCATGTAGTTAATTTATTTATTTATTTATTTATTTATTTATTTTATTGTTTGTTTGTTTGTTTGTTTTTTTTGCAATGCTCGGTGGACCAGGGGGAAATTGGTATGTTTGGTTTTTAAGTTTCACAAACTTGTAGGAAAAAAGAACACACGGTTCAAAAACTTGGTCTTTGTGAACATATGGTTTTTAAGGCACATGGGCCTTTAGCCAATGTTTGTTTACTTTATACATGGTTCAAACTGTATATATTCTTTGTTGTTGTAGATGAGCAACTCACTGGTTCTGTTCGAGATTTTTTCACTGCTGGGACGCAACCGACATCATTAACATTGACTTGGACCCTTCTGTATTTAACTAACTATCCCGAGATGCAGAGAAAACTCCAGAAGGACATCGATAGTGCTATAGGTCAAGGCCAGCCCAATATGGAACATAAAGAACAGTTGCCAATGGTGGAGGCATTTATACTTGAGGTTCAGCGAATGGCGAACATTGTTCCTTTGAACCTACCGCATACAACAAACGATGACTTTTGGTATCAAGGTTATCTCTTTCCAAAGGGAGCAGTTATGTTTTTCTTAATAGATTCTGTGCTGTCTGATCCGAACATTTTTCCAGAGCCTTCGAAATTCAGACCAGAGAGATTTTTGGACGAGAACGGAAAATGTTCTTCAGTGCAGAAAGACAAACTCATTGCTTTCTCAACAGGTTTGTTATTTCAATTTTTCATTTGAGAAGATAGGATTTCAAAAAAATATGTTATGAAAATAGTTGAAACATTTTGCACAGGAATTCATTATTCCTAAAACATTTTTGTCACAACTTTTCATTCAAACCCGTCTTTCTAATTGCATACTAAAAAATATGAGTTGGGACCTTTTCTATGAAATAAATCACTAAACCAATATTTTTTTTCCTTTAAAATCGAAAACTTCACCCCACGAAAATAAGTAATTTTACAGTGCATAGGATATCCTAACAAGTGACTTTACAGCAGCTTAAATACATGATATATACCAATATCTAGGAAATCTTTATGGATTTTTGGGGAAGGATTTTTATCATCGATTTTCAATGTTTTGCATTGTTTCAATAGATAGAGTTCTAGGAGAATACAAGAATAAGGATGGCTTTAAAGGAGAATTTTGTAATGAATATGTGTTGAAAATAAAGCCCGTGAAAAGAAAATGGGTGAACAAGGCGTGCAGAATGCCTATAGCTTCAGATATTAAACAAATCATATTCAGTTTGTGAATTAAGTATTTAAGGTAAAGTTCTCATTATTGAAATTTATGAAATTATGATCAACAAAACTTTTCTGCGAAAAAAAAAGACCTCGGAAAAAATATTCTTTTATTAAAAAATAAAATGGTATTCGTGGGATTCGAACCCCTAACAATAAAAATCCGGAGTATCATATTGCTTTGAGACTAACACGCTAACCACTACGCTACACAGCTCCTAATGAATAGAGGCATTTAAATCATGTTTGTGATATGACCCTTGACTTAGTGGACTCAAGTATTTCTCGGAAAGATGCGAATGCTTTGTCATAAAAATGTACTTTTAAGGTATAGTGGGTCTTTGCTCCATGTTTTTGTAAACCAAAAAATGTATATTTTTATGCCGCGAAGACCCACTCATATCGAAAAATTTTGTTTAAGTATGAGAAAATGATCCTTTTTGTCCTCTTTAGTGTGTGTATGCTATTTCGTAGGCAAATAATTTCAGACTTCGTGAGATTTTTGTAAATTGTAGAGATTTTACATAAAGTATACTTTAATGTTAGATGAAATATCAAAGAAAATTTTGATATAATTGAGATTTTATTTTTTACTTCATGTTTGTCGCACTATAGGCATTTCGCCCGCCTTGTTCACCCATCTTCTTTTAAAAAATTATCATTGGATAATGTTTGGCATCTTCTGTTCTTTATTTTTAGTAGAAAAAATATAAACTTATGGTGAAATATGAAGACAATGAACAATAATCACGCTCAAAAGTCCATTGAAATAATACAAATTTGGAGTAGAGCCTCTAAAACATCAGAGGTTAGATCAGGTGCCACGGAGGAGTAAACATCCCCTGTCGACAGGTCAAACCCGCCGTGCTCCTTGTCATGATCGGACAAACGGGGAAAATCCCTATACAATTCAGCGTGAAAATAATGGCCAAACAATTTGTATGAAAAAACGTCAGTTAGCATTTGACTTAATGAAAGATTGTATTTGCTGACAAGTTCATTGTATTGACCATAGAATTTGCGAAATGCTGACTTGAAATGAGGTTGTCCATATTCTTGTTTCATCAACTTATAAGTGATGAAATTTGAAGATAACGAACATTAATCAAAACTGTTCATTATCTCCTATTTCTCTTACCTCCTTTTAGAAATTGTTCATACGTAGAGCATGCTCTTGCGTATCAAATCAAATGGGAGATATAAACCCCAGAAAACAGATTGTCTTTAAACGTTATTTGTTTTTAAATTTAGACGAATAGAATTAGGCTAGGTGTGTTATTTTTTAAAAGCGTTATTTGTTATTTGTTAATGAATTGAACTAATGAACATTAGGATGTGGTTAGATAAATCCGTAGATTACTATCATAAGTTATGACTTTGATAAAAAAATAAATGGAATGACCCTTTTTTGAAATACAATATCTGTATATTTGTCTGCTGAAACAATTTTATAATGTTTATCAGGTCGCCGAATATGTCTAGGAGAGCCACTCGCCAAAATGGAGCTATTTCTGTTCTTGACAAGAATCTTGCAGAGATTTGATGTAAAGCCAGAAAGCCCTGATTGTTTGCCATCCCTGAAGGCATCACTTGGTTTTGCCAACGAGCCGCAAGCCTTTAATTTGAGACTTGTTAAACGTTGAGACACTACTCTTGTAATGAAGACGAAGAAGTTTCAGTACAGTGTCCAGGAGCTTCAAATGAAGAATCGTTTTCATTGCGACATAAATAACAGCAGATGTAGATATTTTTTAAAAATTGTGTTTGTCTGTTATAGAATAAGTATATACGCCCAAGAAATATATTAAATTGTGTAATGTAGATCATTGGAGACTTATGTTAGCTCCAAAAGTCTTTTTTTGAATTATAAATTTGAACTTATTGTTGACACTTTTTCCGTTTTAAGAACGTAAGTTGTGCTTTTCTGTTTAAGGAAAGATAATGGTGAAACTGGATTGTAAATATAATCACGTTTAACTGTGTTGATGATCCTTTTTAATGTGATTGTCACCGACTTCTGAGCCTTTAGTACTAAATCCAGGGTAACTTGCAAGAGAATTCTTATTGGTTAATGTGCTAGGTGGATAACCTGAATTCAGGCGTAAGTAACTTGAAGTCACAATGCATTGTCTTTCTACTTGCTTTAAAACTATCCTCAGATATTTAACTTAGTACGCATTTCATTCAAATGAAGTAAATAATCAGGCTGCAGGGTCCTTAGGCAATTTTATATTTGATTCAGAATTTGTATTGTGTTTTTGAATTGTATTATAAAACACACATGAAATTTTAATTGTTATTAAACAAATTTCCCTTCCATGTTGTTAATTTGATTTTAAAGTGTTAGTTAAAATTTTTGAGTTGATGAATGAATGAAATTTTGGCTGTCTTAAGAGACTTTTGCATGATCTTGGGGCCAATATGTTCATGCAAAGTGGAACAACTCGTACAATTCAAATTAATTGTACAGATCTGTCTGCCTGTCTAAACATAAATGAAGAGGACTGCAAGTAATGCTTAAGTAAAGTGTAAGTCAGCCTTTATAATTATTAATGCAATGCGATTTGATTTGTATATTTTTTCTGTATGTGCAATAGTTCATTATGTGGCTACGATTAATAAATTATTAATTAATTTTTGAATTAAAATTAAAAATGGCAAAATCCTTGAAACAAATTTTGCTTTCAATGACAATAGTTTTATCTCATAGACTGTTACTCCAGTGTAAAGAGGATATTACAAACAATAAACTAAATATTTACAATATTTACAATAACGCATGCGTGAGGGGAAAAAAATGCTAAGTCAAAAACCAAGATAACCAACACTCTCAATTATAAACCCAATTTTGCACTGTTTAATCCTTTATATAATAAATAATTAATTGCCCAAACTTAAAAAAAAATAGGATTTGTATTATAATATTTGCAAAAAAAAAAAAACAAACAAAAAAAAAAAAACAAAAAAAAAAAAAAAACACGCTAGTATATTCCGGGAAATAGAATTCATTCTTTATGTTTTCTCTTGCAATGTTATACTATCTTCCTGTCTCCAGTCCTAAATCACAGTATATTTCATACAAAGACTAGACGGTAAATTCAACAAGTATTTCTCAAAAGTTTATGATTTTTGTAAGCCATCTATAATGAAGACTTTTTGGCGCATTTTACAAGTCACTATACCAGGTTTTCTTAAAATGATCTACAAGAACAACCGTTCACGGTAGCTCAGACGGTAGAGCGCTCGCTCCGTGATCGGAAGGTCGTGAGTTCGAATCTCGGCCGCGACAGACCTAAGTCGATAAAAAATAGGTAGCAACTGTTCCTTCGCCATGCGTTCGGCACTTTTAAGTGAAAGTTGCGGGTCCTTCGGATGAGACCTTAAAAACCGAGGTCCCGTGTCACGGCAGGCGTTGGCACGATAAAGATCCCTCACTGCTCAATGGCCCTGAGTGCCGAGTAAAGGTCAAAATTTGAAGCCCTTCACCGGTATATGGTGACGTCTCTATATGAGTGAAATATTCTCGAATGGGACGTAAAACAACATACAATCAATCAATCAATCAATCTACAAGAACATGATACACTTTTTTCTTTAACTGCATGTAGTATTTATAGGGCTTTGTTATCATGCATAAGCAAGTCCACAATCATTCAGCATGTTTAAAACAGCAGTACACCATTATAATGTAATGTAAATGTAATTTTTGTAACACATGAAAACCCCCCCTCCTCACACTTAGTACATTTCAAGTATCAACTTTAAACAGTGAGGCGATATCTTAAGGACAGATGATACAAACAAACTTTTATCAAAAATCCTAAAAATAACAACCTAAGTCATATTTATATGAGTAAAATGAATAAGTTTAACCGCATAGATTTTAATTTTTCAGTCAAATTTTCACAATAATGGAATTTTAAGTGACAAAAATTTGTATAGATTAATAAGGATGGTTAGAGGAAGGTAAAATTTTGAACATCATAGAAGGTTTACAATTTCTTCATATTTTAGAATTTTATTATTCACAACATTTACAACCAATATAGGTCAAAAAATATATACCAATTCAGGCATTCATATTTTTGTTTGTATCATCTGTCCTTAATAATCGTGTAGCTCAAGCAGACCGTATCAAAACATTAGGCCGTCTTTACCCAAGCACATGTTTATCACTGATTCTGTACAGGAATGAAAATGTTCACATAATTTATTAACTTATCCCTTACATGAGTCCCATTTTAATCTCTTGTAATTTAAATGCACCTGTATTAAATTAAGAGTTGAAAAATTCATTTACTAAAAATAAAAAATAATTAAGACACAGGCGATTAATTAAGTAACTCTTGCGAAATCTGATTATTAATTTTGTCAAATTTGGAAATATTTTAAACTGAAAATTATCTTAGTACATTCAAGTTAAAAAAAAAGGGAACTTAATACTGGACATCGCTAACCAGTAATTCCGTCTAATATTTAAAGATTTCTGTCCAGATAAAGCCGTCCGTGTTAAAAGGTGGTAAGTGATCACTGAAGCGTATCAAACTTCACAGTAAGACAAAATTAAGTGTCTGTCCCTGTAAAGCAATTTGTAGACCAAAGTTATTATTATATCAGCAAGACACGTTCTATTTCAATACATTGGAAAGAAATTGTTCTAAATATTAGCTTTGAGAGGATTTTCTTCCCGTTCAAAACAAGTTGAACTTGAAACATACTTGTCCAAATAATAGATCAAGATTTTGAAACGGAGAGTTGAAGAAATATAACGACAAATGTACAGACAATATATAAAATCTCATTAAGTAAACAGGTTATGGGCAAAATTTCACGGACTTTACCAACTGTAAGACATTCGCCCTTAGTTAAGTAGCGTTATTAACTAGAGTTTGAAACAGTTTCCGTCAGTCGTTATATCTTGCACGAGTATGTGGGTGACTTTAGCCATTGTTTGTGTGTTGGTCTTTCTAATTTGGAGTCTGACCGGACGACGGAAGGGACTCCCACCAGGTCCGACATGTTATCCAATCATAGGGAATGTCGGACTCATCAAACCGTCAGAAGCCGTGAAAGATCATAGAAGACTAAGGAAGATTTACGGAGATTTCTACTCCTTAATGATCTTCCATAGACCTGTCATTTTCATCCATGGTCTCCATAACATACGGGAACTTTTGGTCAAACACGGGGATGTGTTCTCAGACAGACCAAAGGTGTTTCCATCTGAAGTCCTTGCTAAAAGAAAAGGTAAAAACATTAGCATCATTGATTTTATATTTTCTTCATAAATGTTAGTTGTCCCTGTATTCCATGTCAAGCACAAACGAAAGGTATAAACTCAAATTGGCTGAAATCTCTAAAAGAAAAGGTAGTTATTTGATTCAATTTTTCAGTTTATTTTTTTTTTATTTGAATGAATTGATTCATTTCCTAAGATGTAATTAAACAATAGCAAAATAAAGTGTATTAAGATAAGTAATGGGTGAATTAAAAAAAAAAGGACCACCAAACTGAATTTTTTTGGCAAAATTCAACTGCTTATAAGATATTTTTCACTTATATCATCATATTGCAAATGCATTCTAGTTTAAAATCCTGAAGTGGCAATAGAATAGACAATTGGATTAAAAAGTTTCAGAATTTTGAAAAAAGAAAATATCATTACACCTTAAAGACTTTCTGAAATACAGAATCACAAGAAATTATAGTTTTTTATGCTTCAAAATGGTAAAAGGGGTATAAATGATTAAATCTAGACCTTGAATGAGTATCTTCTTTTGTACATGTGACTAAAAATTGGCTTTTTGAGTGTTATTTTACATTATTTTTTCAATTCTGGTTTGAAAAGTTTTAATATGAAAAAAAATATGAAGCAATAAAATTCCCCAAAATTCACTTTTTTGTCCGTTTAAGTCAATTCTTTAAATCTAAGCCAAAAAAGAATTGTTACATACGAGTTCTCTTACAAAAAATACTAGATTTTGAAGTGACCCTATATGTTACATTATTGTGTTGCACTCCTGACATGTGATATGTATTTTATTTAACATTGTTTTAAAAATTATAACACACAATAACCCATTCTTACTTTGTAAATCAATTTGTCGTGTTGATATTTTTCATCGTTTACAGCAGGTTTTTCATATTTTGAAGACCTTAAAACATGATTATTTGCAAAGTGTAATATATATAAATCGTATTTAAAATATATGTGAAATGATGAAAACTATTCCTTTAAAATTTCTGTAATTTGTTGATAGACATAGTGTTTTGAACATCAAATAGTATCCAGCATTTTTTTTTTTCAACTTATATTTTAGTAAAGATAGTTAAAAAGCATCGGTAATTATGAAGCAGTTTTGTTGCACTCCTGACTGCAGTAAAATTTTAAATTAAAACCATAGAACATAAAAATTCATAAAGTGTTGGCAACATGAAGTGGTAATGAAATTTTGAAATATTTATAGTCCAATACTTCATAATTAAAACATGAAAGTATTTAAAATTCGCATTTTATCTGGAATTGTACCCTATTTTATGCCAAAAAACTAGCTTAAATGTATATTTAGAAGATAAAATATATTTTATAGCATATTTTCCTTTAGAAGACAAACACAGTAACCCACCAGAAAAATTCTACTCATCATTTTTTCTTTATTTTTATTCTTATTGGATGATTTATAATTCTAACATATTTGTTGCACTCCTGACCAAAAGCATTGGGGCCCTTAAAGTAGAATTGTGAAGTGAAAATTACATAAGAACTTGTTCTGTTGTTTCAGTGAAGTTGAGGAGGAATTACTTGAATTTTATGACAATGTTTTAGTGTGTTTATTTTTAACGTTCATTAAAAAAATCACAAAAAAGATAAAAACACATCTGAATTGATAAAATTGAAAAAGGAAGGATTTTAATAATAAAACTGTCAATAATTTATATTAAATTATATAAAGAGATCATTATTAATTAATGAATACTTTTAAGCATGAATAGAAGTCTTTTCGTCACACAACTTGAATCTTCAAAAAAAATGTGTTGCACTCCTGGCCATAGAAATATGGATCTGAAGCACAGACAGATCCTGTAATTGATAAATTTATTTGGTAAAAATGTTCTTTATGTCTTTATTTTCAAAATAAAAATCAGAAAATCATATAATGATAATAGTTTTTTCATGCTTGAGAGCAAAACATCAAATGTTGCACTCCTGACATTTTTGGGTTTGCACATATACTTGACTCTCATTAATGCTGCTTGTGATTTATATAACATTTTTAAGTTTTAAAATGTATATCAGTTATTGTTTTACACTGCAAAAATTCTTTTTTGTCTTAATTTTCTATCAGAATTTTACAATTGATGTTATTTTGGCAACACTAATTTTTTTCTGTTGCACTCCTGACATGGTATAACATTTTTTTAAACATCAGCCATGACCACAACTTGATTAAACGAAAGTTATGACAGTCCACATTTAAAGCTCAATACTTTGAATATTATCAGGAAAGTCTTTATTTTCAACATGAAGCATTATTTTTTATTTCACAGATCTCCACAAAATATTGAAATTTCAAAATGTCACAAAAAGGTGTTGCACTCCTGACAATTTTAGCATCATTTTTGGGCATAACTTTTTTGTCAATTGAGATATCAACGAGATATTTGGCAGGTATTTAGACACTATCTTAAGACATATGCTGAGACATAGAAATCTATTTTCATTGCCTGTATTTTTAGTGTGGGTTGATAAATATGCGTTTGGTCATTTTTTTTTGAATTTACCCTAATTCAACTAAACCAGAATTCAACAAAATCAATCACAATTATCATCTTGAACAATGAATCAAATAATTAAAGGTTTGGCCTGGTCTTCTGGGTCATTGTGGAAGGAACAGAGAACATTTGCTCTGACAACGATGCGAAAATTTGGATTTGGAAGACGATGTCTCCAAAGCCAAGTGATGGAGGAAGTGGACTGTTTGATGGAAGAGTTTGAAAAATACGAAGGTCAACCATTTGACATCCGAGAACAACTAAAAACAAGTGTATCAAACGTCATTTGCTCACTTCTGTTCGGGAAAAGGTTCGACTATGAAGACGCCAAATTCAAGCGATTATTAAATTTGTTTAATACTCTAATAGCAGTCTTAAACTTCTCGTCCCCAGCATTCATCTTTCCGGAATTAGCAAGTTTTAAAATTTTTAATTTTGACAAAGCAGCCCCAATTATCAAAGCCCTGAATGACTTTGTTGCTGAAAAGGTGGAGGAACACAGGAAAAATTTTGACGAGAACAACATAAATGATTATATTGATGCCTACATCGCAGAACAGAAACGTAGGACGAGTGAGATCAATACCACATTCACAGGTAAACTTCAAACATATATATTCTCTATAAATTCATTTATTTTTCACCTGAAATGATATTTGTTTTGTTTTTTTATAGAAAGGCCACACATCATGTGAAATATCAACGTCTAAATTATTTAAGTAATATATATATTATCGGTAATTCATCCATAAAAAGGGGGGAACCCACAAGAATCTTGAAAGCAGAGCACGGCTTTGCTTTCTGCTTTCAGAGATTTTTAGAAAGCGATAGGTCGCAAATATAATACACTCATGTATATAAATAAGTAGAACTTCCCCTTACCCGTCCATCTTCTCCAGAATTGAATCAATTTAGACCGAACATGCTTCAAAGTACCCTTAGATTATGGAAGATTCAAAAGTTGTTCAGATGAAAGATCATGCCTACTCCTAAAATGATATACATAAGTGAAGATAGGTGTGATTTAAAAAGCATAAGAAGCACCGCTGAAAAAAGTAGGTAAAAAATTCTTAATATAGTGAAGATTCAATTAGCTTCAAACATCATCGTCTATGGGAAACTGAGACAACAACAGGAACAGAAGTTGTATATAGAAATAAATGCGGATTTTCTGCTCAGTTCTAAAAGGTCATGTAGTGTAGATGAAAACTATACAATTTAGGGGTCACATATTAGAATATTTACATTTTATATTTTGCTATATATTTCTACTAAGCCAACTGTGAAATTGATTTGAATGCCATTTTCGTGTATACTCACGGGTAGAAATATGCACGGAGAAACTCGCGCTAGAGTGACGTCACAATGAGCTACAGAGACGTTAATAAAAATGTAACGATATAGGGCATCAAATAATTTAAACATTGAGTATATTTTTGGTGCTTTTGAATATTTAAATGTAAATATAAGGAATGTTTTATAGTTTAGTGTGAATTATTGGTGTGCAAATCACACAGACTTGCACGTAGGCATATTTTTCATGAAGCGCTAGCGCTTCATGAAATATGCCTACGTGACAAGTCTGTGTGATTCACACACCAATAACTCACACAAAACTTAAAAACATTCCTTAAATGAAATAAAGGCATCTTGTACTTATTATTTCGTATGAAATTCAAATACAGGCAGGGGTTAAATTTGAATTCTATGCTTCATGGTCGTATCGGCTATTTTTTTTTCGGTGTTAATCACTGCATTTATATAACATCCTCGTTTCTTTTTATATTTCTATGCCTGTTTTTGAAAACAAAAAACATATCAATGAAAAAAACAAAAAAACAAAAATAATATGTTGAAATTTATAAAGATTTCCTTAAAGTTTCATGAGTTCCAAGCGCGAATAGGCCTAATTATGTTATAAATTTCGTTTACATTATTAGTTATCCAGGTCCAATCAAGGGTGTACGGGATTTACCCCGTTTATTCCATACACCCTGAGGCAGAAGGCCGAAGGGTGTATGGAATACAACCCGGGGTAAATCCCCGTACACCCTTGATTGGACCTGGATAACGAATTTATTTCCTATGTACCCAAATAAATTCTTTGTAAACAAGTCCAATCAATTGTGTTTCAAGCTATCAATAAGATTTACTACGTCCTACAATGCATTTGCTTTTTATCATAGAGAAACAATGCATTGTGACGTCACGATTTTTACCCCCGGCTCAAGTCGGGTGTACGGAAATTTACACCCACTTTGTAACCAATCAAAGCTCATGTTACAAGCTACATAGGAAATAATAATTTATATTTTTTCTTATAGACGAACAACTCGCTGGTTCTGTTCGCGACTTTTTCACTGCTGGGACAGAAACGACATCTTTAACACTGAGATGGGCTCTTTTGTATTTGATTCATTATCCCGAGATACAAGAGCAACTCAAAAAGGACATTGATAGCGTTATAGGCCAAGGTCAACCCAACATGGAGCACAAAGAGCAATTGCCAAGGGTGGAGGTATTTCTTCTAGAGGTACAACGCGTGGCGAACATTCTTCCATTGAATCTGCCTCATACAACCAGCGAAGACATTTGGTACAAAGGATATATCTTCCCAAAAGGTGCAGTTATGTTTTTTCTGATAGATTCTGTGCTGTCTGATCCTGAAATCTTCCCAGAACCAGCCAAATTCAACCCACAAAGATTTTTGGATGAGAACGGAAAGCTGTCTGTGGAGAAGAAAGAGAAAGTGACTGCATTCTCAACTGGTAGGTTGTCTGTGATGGAAATTTTTAATCACAATGCATAAAATTTAAAGTTATGAAATTTAACATTAAATCCTGATTTTCTGCATGTGATTTTGCAATGCTTATCAGTAAATCGTTGGTACTGAATGCCAAGTTATAAATATAATGATTTTTCATACTCTTAAAGGTCGCAGGATGTGTCTTGGAGAGCCACTCGCGAAAATGGAGCTATTTCTATTTTTGACAAGAGTCCTGCAGAGATTTGACGTAAAGCCAGAAAACCCTGATTGTTTACCTTCCCTTAAAGGAACATTTGGAGCAACCAATGCCACTAAACCATTCAAACTGAGGCTTGTCAAACGTTGAGAACTTTAGGGTTAACCATGGCAAGACGACCTATAAAAAATTTCTGTTGTTATGGTCACTGGAATCAGTATAGTTTTTCATGACTTTGAGTAGTGTTGAATACGTACTTTTGAGCAATATTGTTAAAACATTATCTTTTTGATCATTGATGAGTTAAAATTTTCACAGAAATTTGGTCCGAATAGACAAGATAAATTAGGATTTGGACAAATATTTGTATGATCCAACAACGACATTTCCGCACCAAACTATAGATATACTTCAATATTAAAAAAGTTAAGGATGATGTACAAGCGAACCAAAGATATGCTCCAGTACTGCATACAGGGTTATTTTCGCCCCGTGCTATTTTCGCCCTTTCAAACCTGCAAATAATTTTGCCCCGTTTCAAATTCGCCCAATCACATTTCTGTTTAAGAAATTATACTGTGTTTTTTGAATTCGCCCCGTTTTAAATTCGCCCCACCTGTGAGTAGGGCGAAAGGGGCGAAAATAAAACGGGGGCGAAAATTTCCCTGTATACAGTATTTAAAATAGCTTTAAACGAAATACCATTTAGTGTAATATACATGTAGATAGCGTTATTAAATGTAAATATAAAAATTAAATGTAAAAAATGTTTTTGTTGAACAATTGAAGACCGTCGTAGATGATGTGGCTACAGGTTAAAAAATTCTCTGTAGACGCTGAGTATAATGTTTATATTTATGAAACAACTTGTGTGTGTCTATTAAAAGATAATAAACTTATTCCTTAAATAATAGACATCGTTTGATTAATTCTTTTCTTTTTGAAGGAGACTGTCGTTCGGTGAATATGAATATTTTAAATCAGCATGGAAAGATACAATGCAATTATATTGCAAACTGAAATTTAACAGAATTAGTCTCCTTCAACCAGGCACAGGGTTTGCTGTTTCAATGTACAATACAAGCAGATTGAGGGAGTTATTAAATACACTGAAATAGTGGCTCTTTGTATATCAGTTAATGTAGAAATCCATTTAAATTTTATGTTTTTGAACAGTGAGCTAAGCTTATAGAAGAACGTATTCAAAAGAAAAAGGGAAAACAAGGTGAGAAAATGTAACGTTTATTTGGTCTCATTTACAGACAAAGAAGACTAATGTGGTCAGTAACAATGAAATAAAGCTTAATTCAACAGGAAAGCAGAAAAGAAATTGTGGTATATTATTGTGGTATATTAAGATAATCAGAGCAACATCTACACTTAAATAAGATTTGCTAGAATCATTCATGACCTGCACTGATAAAAACACTCTCAGATGAGGTAAGTATTCTTTATCACCTTGTACCTAAAAATAACAATTTTTAGTTACATTAAACCCAGAGACCCACAGCCACAATGCTCACTTGATTCTCTCTGTCCCGAGTATTTTATATATAATTTTCGTCTTGATTACCATAAAAAATTTCATCCAATATTGTTGCCCTACTCCAGCTCCAAAGGGTCGTAACATATATAAACATGAAACGTGATCAAACTAGTGATTGGGTGTGTTCTCTATCTCCAAGACAACTTGTTAAGGTCAGAGGATGCTTAAAATTCGGAAAAGTGACTTTTTCACATATGTTTTTGTATTTTATGCTTTTAGATTAAAATTAATTGCTACATGGTGAAATTATAAGTAAATCTACATTTATTTTAGGATATTTATTTTTTTATGTTTTTTCGTTGATTTCGATATAGATTTGAGGAGAATGATAAAATAAGGGTGTTTTGATAAGAAATTTTTGTACTTAATATGTGTTTTATTTATACTAAAGACTGTACAAACTGTTTTACAAATTTTTATAACATATTATTTTGAGTAACTTATACTAAGTATCTTGAACTCAATTGTTTTTACCATTTAAATAAATACAAATGTATTACAAGTATAAGGTTTTTTACTGATTGGACAACCACTGACCAGACCGTGGTCAGCATGCACCTTCCCTAATTTCTATTGTTTTGCCTTCCCACAGGTACCTGCCGGAAGTTCCCTCACCCCATTGTTGACAGTCTTATTCAGTTTTCATCTATTTAAGCCGTTCGCTTATTCGGGTTTTACAACAGCCATGTTTATTAGCTTCGTCAATAAAGAGATTTAATCAGTTCTTTCAATACACCACGTATAACCAAAGTATATCTCTGTAACTCGGTATTCTACGGAAGCCCGTTGAGGCCATTGCAGAGAAAGAAAAATTTTAAACGCAATAATTATTGTAAAACATTGCATTTAATCGTAATAATCATTGCGTTTAAACGCAAAACGTTGCGTTTAATCGCAATGGACACGATCAAACGCAATACTTTTGCGATTTAACGCAATAATCTTTGCGTTTATACGCAATAATATTTGCGTTAAAACGCAATGATCCTTCCTTCTAAGGATCATTTTGCATTTAAACACAATGATACTGTAGTTCAAAAATCAGACATCAATAAGCCAAAGCTAATAATTACTAGGATCCAACACTTTAAAGAAGAACTGTTTGGTTCTCTGTCCTTTTGTAAAATGTTCCAGCTTTTGAGAATTGTAGTAAAACAGTGGCATCCTAACAGCCAGAATGTCTTTAACGTATTAGAACTCAACACTCTTAATGAAGCCTTTGTTTAATTGCTTACGTATCATAACTTATTAAATTAAACGTAGAGATTATTGCGTTTAAACGCAAACATTATTGCATTTAATCCAATGCATATTTTGTTTAATCACAATCTTTTGTGATTAAACGCAAATATGCATTGGATTAAATGCAATCTTTTGCGATTAAACGCAATAGTAATTGCAATTAAACGCAATGTTTGCGTTTGAACAATAAAAAAAACTTCTTTCTCTGAAGTGGCCTCAACGGGCGTTCATAACATTCCAACGTACAATAAATATAAAATAAATGGATACAGTCCACATATACCATTTCCATAGGCGACTCTGTGGTGTCTTTATTTCGAATTCACTGGGATATATCTAGTCCAGATATGAATTGAATCAAATATTTTTAATTGATAAAACGTTGTCGATATATCTGAATGTCGAATTGAAGGTCACAGGAAGGGTATTCTTTTCTGAACATTTTTGAATTAATTCTGCTTCATAGGAATACAAAATTAGATCGGTTAATTATGGAGCACCACAATTTGTGTTCAGAGGAATTCCAACAGATTGTTGGAAGACCTAGTCTCCAAAGAATACATATATGTTGTCAATGAGGAACTCCACCATCCTTTTAATATCAACTTCAGAAAACTTAGACGACTCTTGATAAATGATTCTTTACAAAGTAATTTTGTAGATGACCAAATACGAGATATGAAAATTTCCGAGTTCCATTTTTATTGGAGACGCATTTCTCTATGATACCAAAGAAGCCTAGTTTTTAATTATTCCTGAGGAATAGTTGTTTGTTTGTATGTTGTTTAACGTCCCTCTCGAGAATTTTTCACTCATATGAAGACACCATCACTAACCGGTGGAGGGCTGCAAATTTTAACCTATACTCGGCACTTGGGCCATTTAGCAGTGAGTGATCTTTTTCGTGCCAACACCTGCTGCGACACGAAACTTCGGTTTATACAGTCTCATTCGAAGGACTGGTCTCCACGTCCCACAGTGGATTCAAACCCATGGCGTAATGATCAATTCCTTACCCCACGACTCTAGAGCAGACGCTCTAACCACTACGCCTCCGGGGCGACAGGAATAGTTGTATAAAGTGTCGAAAAATCTTATGTTTTGATGTTACTGACTTTTGAAAGGTTTTGAGATTTTATATTTTCTAAAAGTTCGGTGGTGTTTTAGAGAATCTACATTAAATTTACACTAAGTTTTGGATTTTTCTGTAGTATGTCTGAAGATTCCTCTTTACAGCAGTTATTTTTTTAGGAGTAAAGATAGGGGTATTGTAGGGCATTTGCTGGACCCAGCAATGTATCTTTGTTTGTAAGGTTTAGAAACCTTGGAATTGAATATTGATGTTTTGAGTTTTTTAAAGGAAACGTGGCATTTGAAAGGCATGTGACAGAATATATATATTTTTAATAATAAAATAGAAACGTAGGAATGGTTTTGAGTTACTGCCATATATGTTGTCTTGATCCCTTCCTGAATGATTAATTCTACGGGAAAACAGAAAAAAATGTACCATAATAATAAAGCTGTACTTCAAAATAAACTGAAACTAAGAGTGTTGTCGAATATCGGTGAAATACTGTAGAATGTATCTAAAAATTGTCTGTCATATAAATACGTAGAGAAAAAAGTCCTTACTAGATTTATTTAATAAAATAATATTAAAAAAACTCTAATGAATGATATCTGACCTGGCCATTGACAAGAGATGAAGACTAATATACTGCTTCATCAATCACATTAGTGGCGTTAGCAAACAAGATAAACTAAATATGGCTGTATGTCGAGCTCTGACTGTAGGCCAATCAATAAAGGAAACAGAATACATGAAATCAAGGTGTAAGAATTCAAACAGTGTTTTCTGTCGTTTTTTTTTCCTTTATTTATCATCGGTTTGTATACAGCGGCATATCGTGAGTGAGGTGACTAACTGGAACGTTGATTAATTTTTCAAGGTCGGATATTTTTCGTCAACAGTGTTCAACTTATTTTTGCAGTGCCAGCTTGATAACAAAATATACTTTTCTAGAGAGGGGCGCGAGGTGAATATCTTTTGTGAGGTATATCAATTTAATTTGATAAACTATATATTTCACACAGACCTTTTTGCACCATGTGGATTACCGTGTCCCTTATTGTTGTGTTGGTCTGTTTGATTTGTGGTCTTTGCAGACGTCGGAAAGGTCTTCCACCAGGTCCGACAAGCTATCCAATTATCGGGAATGTAAGACTATTCAAACCAACCGAAGCCCTGAAAGCTCACAGAAAACTAAGGAAGATTTATGGAGACGTATACTCCTTAATGTTTTTCTACAAACCTATGATAATTGTGCATGGATATCATCACATTAGGGAAATTCTGGCAAAGCATGGAGATGTAT